TATAATATATTGCAGTTTCTTAATCTTTGGAACCCGTTGCATGTGCTCAAGAAGAATTGTGTCCAGTTACTCAAATTCTAAATGTAAAAAAAAGATGAAAAGATGCATAAATCAGGTACAATTGTTTAACAAAACAACCCAAACAATTTTTCTTTTTCTTCTGAAAAATGTGGCTTTCTGGCCTCAGAACATTTGAACAGCTTGCCGATGAAAAGAAAGGCGCTTTGGGCGGGACAAATTTGATGTTAGACGTTATAGAGACCGTGCTTGCCTTCGGGCTCGCAGTCTACATTTGAAATAATATTGTTGTTGTTTTTTTGGAGATTTTTGTTAATGGTGTGCTGGAAAATTAGAATGTTTCAATTAATACGTAGCTGTCCTTATTGCTCACAATGCTACCGTTAATACAACTGTATTGCTTTGGATGATTCTACGGGTTGATATTTTACTTTGGTGTACACTCTTACACTAATCATTTGATACAATACTCTGTAATTTCTCGTGGCCTTATTGAATGACTTCTTGTAAACTGTTATATTGACGTGACATTTGGTGATACTTATCCTCTACCTGTTACATTATACTGAAAATAACCTTATCTTTTACCGGAGATTGTGGTGTAGGGATTAGGCACTTGGCCCTTGCACGCAGAGGACATGGTTTCAATACCCGTGTTAGGAGTTTTTTTTATCGAGTGTGTCCATTTGTCTGCTAGGACGTTGTATCCATCTCAGCCTGAATTTGGTCATGACAGGCTGGGTGGAAGCAGCCCACCCCCTAATTATCTAAACTGTAATGTGTTTGAGATGTGGTGCTACTGTAAAATGGCCAGAATAAGTTGGAAAATAAAAAGGACGATCCATGAGGTATATCAGATTCTACACACAAGACGTACCCTGCTAAATAAAATGAAAATGTTATAATATAAAACATAATACTTTGGCGGCCAATTAAAACGACACGAGACCGTTGTGAAAGAGGTACTTGGAGGAATGATGTGGTGCTGGAGAAGACAAAGAATAACATGGACGGACAACTTAAGAACATGAACTGGCCTGGATATGGCTGAATGTGTAACGGCAGCTCGCGACTGTGAAGGATGGGGAGGGTCATTACATGTCAACCTCTGAGTCAGAGATGACACCTCCAGCCAGCCACTGATTGGGGCATAGCACACCTACAATTAAAATTTTTAAGAACTTTACTTTTCGATGTTTATGCCCTGGTAAATATATATTTTGTATGTGAATGTGCGTGGATATCGTTGTGTGCATGCTGTGTGTGTGTATGTGTGTGTGTATGTGTGTGTGTGTGTGTGTGTGTGTGTGTGTGTGTGTGTGTGTGTTTGTGTGTGTATTAGTGGGTTTTCTTAAGGGGGCGAGGGCAGGGTGATAAATAGATTCACATTAAACAAGAACAGCCACTGGTTAGTTGGTAGGAAAAACCAAAAGGAGATACCTACACTAAGATTTTCGTTCGTGTAAAGTCTTTGCTTTTCCTTGACGTCATACTTGCCTCTCACAAAAAGTTTCTACTTGATGGAGGTTAAAGGGGACCAACCGCCGACGCATAGAAAGGAAACGTTCTGTATATATACTTGTAGTGGCGAATAACCTGGTCGCGCTACCAGTGCTCTTGTCGTTGGAAGAAGGGAAAGAGTCGCGCATCAGGCGGGGAAACTGGAACACAGGGTTGTCCGTTATGTTGGGGTGTGATCAATATTGATGTCACGTGACATGAGCTTCCGACAAACTACTACAACTCTGCTACAAGGTTTTGATCACCGTGGGAATAGCCATGGTTACCGCTGGAAAGTGAAGGCAATTTGAACGTTTTTGTCAGGATGAAGAGAAATTACTTTTATTTCTGAAAGTGCGTGAACGAGCATGCACTCCTCGAGCATGCACTCCTCAGCTTGTTTACGTAGGTTTCTCTCTCTCTCTCTCTCTCTCTCTCTCTCTCTCTCTCTCTCTCTCTCTCTCT